CACATGAATATTGGTTTACACCTCGCTCAGTACTCAAAGTCATAAACTTCAAGTGAATCACAACAATTTAATATTCAATCCAGTTAGAGTGTGCCCTTTATTACCGTTACCGCACATGCTCCTTTATATTGACCTCAATAACAACCCAATGTCATCCAATTCCTTCTTCTTGACAACCATGGGTTCAAGTTATAGCTCCACCAAATGAATAAGTTATTATGGACCTATTAGTCCAACCCCACTTTCCTTCATCTTTAATCGGAGGGATAAGCCATTATATTAACCTTTCATTAGGAGCATTTTGCTCTACAATCATTCCAACAATGGCTCATGTTTCGGGCGGCATCTCGAACCCGGACAACAGTACTACTTATAACCTTTATATGACGTTAGTAAAAAGGTAGGTTGCTACGAATAGGAGTTTATATAGCCTCCTGTCTATGACTTGTGCTACTGTCACAAACCATAAACAAGTGCTACTGTCACAAACCATAAACAAGACTCTACATTAACTCCAACAACTCCGCTGAATAACATGAGAATTCCTAAGACTCGACTAAACGTAGGACTCTGATACCAAGTCTGTAACGACCTCTTCCCTCGATCGTTACCTGCGTCCGAGACTTACGAGTAAACCCGCCAAATCCCGAACAAGCCTTAGTTAAGCCTTCACACAATTTAAACTCAACTTACAATTTTTAACACCATATTTCATTTAAACCAATTATTCACAACATTTAAACATGGCTTTTAAATACAAACAACCAGATTTGATAATTCCATACGATTTCAACATAATATGTAGTAGTCATTACATAACTTTAAGTTCTAGCTAGTACATTTCTAGTAACTATTAATCATTACAAGCCTGACTATTTGACACATACCGACCTCTAGGTAACGGAGTGACTCTGAGTAGAAGTATAGAGATGCCATTACCTAGGCTGTAACTAGCCTCGAGATACTGAATAAAGCACTAGAACTGATTACTTATCTACAAAAGAAAATAAGGAGGGGTGAGTCTCACAGACTTAGTGATCATCAACTCTATGAGTAGGGCGTAGATGGGAAACAAACTAAAGGCAGAAGATTTGAATATTAAAAATGCAAGCATATATGTAAACAATTTACTCAAAAAGGGAGGTTTGTGCCT